GCTGATGTGCTTACCGTGTTCAATGTGCCTATTAAGTGCTTTCCAAGTGATAAACTCTTTTTCTGAGCTTACAGTATACTACATGTACATACATGTTTTTATTTTATTTTTCCATGTTGTAATATTTTGGTCTCTGTTATTATACTCATGTTTTGTCTTTGTAGCTTATGTTGTATGTTTTGCAAAATGGACGTAAAATATATATTTTTGTATCTTGTACGTGCTCAAGGATTTTATCTGTAGTTTTTGGGACTATATATAGAAAAACTTTACCCCAGTATGAGGAATTGTTTTACACATTTATCATAAAACAAGTTATGTTCAGATTTCAGACAGAAGATACTCTAAAATTGTACAACTCAGAAAAGGTTGAAAAATATTTATAGTTCATTTTTTTCTGCTTAGAAATATTTAATCTCTAAATTACAAATGATAACTGTTTTAACAGGTCTAGTTTCCGAATTGGAAACCAAACCCTGTCTGACCTATAAATGATCATTATATAAGGCCAATTAAAAGTTTAAAACAAATATTGAGTTTATGCTAACCCCACAGATACTGGACACACTAATAGTAATATGATGTGTATAAACTATGATATATTATACACACTATACTTATTGGTGTGTTCGACACCAGTGTGGTTAACCAGACTTATCTCAGATTTGTGTTCTACAATACCCTTAAGTTTTTATATGCACTGTTAAAGTCAGAACTCCTGCTCTATATTAGCGCAGTAAAGATATTTTTCAAATTAACAATAAAATGCCTAGCTAATACATACCTACCCTATTTTTTTCTGATAGTAGAAACACAAGTAATTTGTTTGGCCTAATGTTTCTGTCATTTCATAATATTTAGAACTACTATACTTGTTTAAGTTTCCAAAACATCAAGTAGTATAACAATTGAAACTTCAATGAAAGCCAACATCACAATGAATCTAATAATACAATGTTTATAACATGTTTTTTTTTAACTGAATGAGAAGAAATGTAAGGCCAAATATCCTCACAAACAACGCTTAAGTGAAATCAGTTTGCAACTAAGCAGTTCGAAAATTTTGCAACACGTCTGGAGAAAGACGTTCCTCGTGACGCTGTAATTCACTAGAGTAAAACGTCCGTTTATTATGTTTGTTTTTGCATAATAACTGCTATACATACCGTAGAAGCACCTTCCTTTTTGTCATCGCCGCTGACAACATGCGCCATTCTCTGCGGCTTCGGCCGCATGCTTGGCCACAAGTCACCGAAATCGGGATACATAGCCTTATTTATGAATCAGTAGTAGGTAAACGTTGCAGAAGTGTATGTATATTGTTCATTGTCAATGCTGCTTAAACAACATGCCTAACATTAAGTCAACACTCGCCTGCATTTTCGTCTTTTCCGCTTCGCGTTGCGAATGATGTCTAGGCCTACACAAAACGAAAGTAAAATGTGCGCATGTCTAAATGTAAGGGAGATCACTCGTGTTTTCCCGCAGTATATGTCTGAAATCATTCCGAAGGTGTTGTTGTTTTTGTGTATATTGAAATAAAAGAGTCCTGTTATATGGTAATACTTCAATAAACGAAAAACACAAATCACACCAACAGACATATAAAATGTAGGCCTATCGGAGCATATTTTCGTTTCTGGCTGAGCTGTAATTAGCGAGAAGGCGATATAAAAATGCAATAGCATATCTTATGATGAAAATAGAACAAAATGATAATACTGCGAAGGTAAAAAAAGCCTTCAGGTTAGAATACCAATATGGAACTAGAGAAGGACAGTGGCTAGTTCTAACATGATTCCCGGTCTCATCTGCCCCGGCCGGTTGATCCCATTTTAGTTAGGCAAGCCTGGTGTGAATCACACGGAGGCGATTTTAGAATTAATTGACAGGATCCGTATCCATTAATAGGTTTGTAATATGAACTTTTTATGTTGATCTCCTACATAATTGTAAGTTATACTCCGCCTTATATTTCGTTAAATTATCAAGTTTACGTAACAAGTGCAAGCGAAATCCTAATTGACTGCCATGTTGGAAACTTCCTCAATCTTTCCGATATAGGTCAGACGTCTAAATATGGGTGTCATGACCAAATATGGAAATTGTAGTAAACATGACCGCATCAGTAGTAATACTATATTTGGCCGTGAAGGCCATATAAGGAAACGGATAACATCACGCGTGATCTAACATGGCCGTCGTTTCTTTTTTTAGAGTTTTTAGTAAGGATTTGTTATTTTAACGATGAACGAATATGCAATATTTTGATAACATTATAATCATATGAAGCGTGAATCAGATATATTATTACTGATTAGCACTTTTGATTATCCTCAGTTAGTTGGAACAGGACCGCTTCATAGCTCTGACCACGCAATATATAATTGTAAACAGGGACGTAAATGTCACCAATTTTAGCCAATCACAGGACAATATTTCCGTGTAAAGGGTTAATCCAGCGACAGTTCCAAGAGTAAATACGAAGTTTTAGAAGGATACTTAGTTCTAACTAAGAATAAGATTATATCCAATGACGTTTGAGTGAACTTGAGTCCGTGGTAATGGATTTTATTTGCAGTTTGTTTAGTATTACTAGAAGGTGACGTTATGTCTCGTTTATGAATATCTGAGCTCATTAACTGAAGTATTTTTACCGGAAGTTGCGTGTAGCATGCATGACCTACATTCAAGTAGCAGTTCCCGATTGAGATAAACAGGGTGCATTTTCAATAAGAATACGACGTTGTGATAAGATCATATGTTCTATAAAGAAAAGTAATGATATTTACAAGGCATTCAAGTGCATTTAAGTCCAAAGTTACGCATAATAAAGACAGTAGGTCCGGTATACGATTCAATTTAGTACCAGTGACTACCGCTAGAGGCCGTCTGTGTGAAATCGACATTTATGAATATCTGAGCTCATTAACTAAAGTAATACCAATAGCTGGCGGCTAACGCCTTAGCTAAAAACAGACGTACCTCTGTTGTCGCAGTTGCCATCCATTTCCTGAATCGGGTCTTTGGATGTAGCTGTACTAGCTCCCAAGTTGTTGGGCATAGCGGTTGGTCTCCGTAAATATTCGTGGCAATCTCCTCTCATATCCATGAGAAGATTTTAATTTCCCCCTTAAATGTCGGCATCTGAGCAGAGACGTCTACTAAGCCTTCCATCTCCCTGATCGGTCCGTTCTGTAATAATGTCGTTGTCGGACACAATGGGATCGAAGCCTTTAAACTCCTCATCGCTGTCGTTATAAGCAAAGAATTCAGCGAAGAAATCGCCGTGTTCTACCATCGCCATTTTGTACCGACGAGATACCAGACGGTCATGAAGTCGCATGACTTTCCCGGAAGTGTATTTATAGAACTTACATTGCTATATTCATTTTCTCGATCTAAATCGCACGTTAACATAAATTTGTCGTTTATTTTTATTTCACATATAAATGTAGTAAGTCTGAATCGTATTTTTGGTTTTCTGTATGACGTCAACATTTTTTTCAGTGAAATTATAAATAATTCCTGACATTAGGATTCCCCCCTTTCCGGTGACGTAATATTTGTGCTTCCACTGAGCTAAAAATATCGATGTATACATGAATGCCTTCAGACTGCTGTGAAGCGATGGGGAAATCCCAGTATTCAATCATCAAAAGCAAAAATTATATTGCGAGTTGAAAACTAAATTATATATCATTTAAAAGGTTGAAATCTCGTATTCAAGTGTGCAAAATATCAAAACTTTACTCGCCATGGTTTGATACGATAAGTATAATGACATATTCTAAGGGAGTCCCAAATGGCGTCTCACAGGGGCCCAGTAAACTGGGGTTAAATTACCCAGAATGCATCGACGATCGCCAAATTACCCAGAATGCATCGGGAATCGACTCCCTAAAAGTTGACAGTATGTTCTCTGGCTTCGAAGAATGTTTTTGAAGTGCCAACTAGTCTTTTATTAATGCATCCTTATGTAAACAATACATATGGTTTATGACAGTGGAACATTTTATAACACTGAGAGTGGATAACTCTTCGTAGAGGTTGATTTTATACTGTTTTTATAAACACAAAACAGCATTTTGAAATTTTGGCGGACATTTTGCACTACAATCAATAGGTGGCGTCATGTTCATCCGGGAGATTGTATATATATATTATATAGAGATAGAGTGTAGTGTTGCTTGCGAGGCGTTTGCAATGCATGGGCTGCCAATCTTGTTGCACAAGATTTAGCCCAAAAAAACATTAAAAATGTTGGAGACATGATAACTATTATCATTTTATTGGGTGCTACTTTGCCACTCCTCCAATATCATTTTACCTGTTGTATTAGGTTATTGAGTAAAAATATAATACAGAAGTGACAACATAATCGTAAGTCGATAAAACTATGGTAAAATTAATAAGAACTATAATAATATTTACATGGATACCATTAAAGAAGTACTCGTATAGTTAGACCAGGTGCTTTAGAAAGGTCTTATGCTTTATCGACGACATCCGCCATGTAAATCTTGGTCAAATTCAAGAAATGTCACGTCTTGAAATAGAGACCCAGTACATGTACAGTACAGCGCGAAAGCTCTTTCGGTCATGTATTTCATAAATCTCCCCGTGGCCACCTCGTACATCTAAAGCTTGGAAACATATATAATACATGTATACTGTACAGTATTTTTTAATGGGTGTTCAATGCTTAGAATGGTTACATTAAGTACATACAATATGTACGATAATTGATGCTTGGATAGTCATGCACATCCATTTGAAAATTTGTACTGGATTGATTCCAATAATCGCCCACACCTACTTCTGTTTTTTAATGAATTCTAATAATCGCCCAGTCCATCCGGGCAATTATTAGAACCAATACGGTAATAATGTCAACAAAAGCAATAGTGATTTCCGTTTGCAAAAACGGAAATCTATAATGGGCAAACACATTATCCCCAAACGTTGAAGTTAGTTGGGGGACATAATTGTATGCTTACCAATGCCAGTAGGTCCCTTTTGTACTGTTCCATTGCAACCACCAGGGCAGCTTTTTGGCCAAGCCCTGGAGTGGTTGTCTAGGATACACGCACCAACAGTCAGTGGCGCAAATAAGTGAACTGCTAAAGAGTAGGCGATATCCGTTTCTGATGATGACGCAGGCAAGTTTCCATCTCTGGTTTTGCAAACTTTTGATAAACAAACATCATGTGCTTCTTTACCTGTGAGAAAATATAAAAAAAATAAAAGTACTGGAAAAGTAGATGACTTAGTAATTAGGGCTATTGGCTAAGCTGTGCTCACTCTAGGCTGAAAATCCTTTTAGCAAAAGTTTCTAAAGGCACTTTTTTCTTTTAGCAAACAAGGATCCGCCGATCGTGTTAAGTCTCGTTCAACCAGACTTCCCCCCCCCCCCCCCCCCCCCCCCAAAAAAGGGGCNTCACTCTATTATTCTGCTCGTAATGTCAGAACGAGGTGTACTGAGATCTCAGTACATCAATCAAATCGGGGGCGTGGTCAAATACTTTAATAGTGTCTGTCAAATCTCAGCATACGTGTATAGTCCTATGTACCCATACCTGTCAACTGACCAGATTTCGTCTGGTCACACCAGATATTTCAGCTCATTTTAGCTCATGACCAGATATTAGATCATATGACCAGATCTGTAGTGAAATGACCATCTCATGTTATGTTTTTGATATTTATATGCATCAAAAAGATTAGTTACTGCTGTCACAGGATAACAATACATGTTATATTGACTAGCAAAGGGATATTTGGGCCTCTCATGAAGTTAAACCCACATTACTAATACTACAAAATATCAATTAAGGTAGCAAATAGGCCGATTCGCGAACATTCATGGTTGTTTAGGATGCCGAAAATGTTATTACGCATTATGACCAGATATTGTGCAGTCAATATCTGGTCATGACCAGATATGGGACTTTCAGAGGTTGACAGGTATGTGTACCCAATGATGTGTATAATATGTCGCTGATTTACCTGTTGATACGGGAAGCATTTCAGGTATTAATCTAGGCTAATTTTACTACCGAATATAGGTAGTTTTCCCCAAGCAAATATTGTCCATTAACATTAAAAAATAATTCCCCTACTACAAAAAATGATCATTAACACAGAAATATTTTCCCCGTTTGAAAAAAAAGGTAGTGTTCCTCAAAAGCTAGATTAATCCCTGCATTTACACGTGTATGCTACCTAAACAGATTGCACGGGCATGTTACACAGCGGATCACCCTTTTAACAACCATATTGATATGTACTTAACAGAATAAAATACAAATTCAATAGTTAGGCCACACCAATTTGATTAGTAGTTCGTCGGGATTACCGCTCCTGATTTGTATACATCAACAAAACAAGAGGCCCAATGGGCCTGAATCGCTCACCTGGTATTAATCTCACACTTGTAATCTTACAAGTGGACTAAAATACAGCTACAGGCAGAATATCAGTGTTTGATTCATAAGAACCTATTAAAAGATTTAAACATATGACGCCTGTGACCTTGAATGTCGAACAAGGACATAAGGTTGAAAGTGGGTCAAGGTCATTCATTTGAACAAACTTAGTAGTCCTTCATCCCAGCATGCTACAGGCCAAATTTCAGTACCCTGGGCCTTCTGGTTATTGAGAAGAAGTGGTTTGAAGATTTTACGACATTTGACCCCTGTGACCTTGAAAGTGGGTCCAGGTCATTCATTTGAACAAACTTGGTAGCCTTTCATCCCAGCATCCTACAGGCCCAATATCAGTACCCTGGGCCTTTTGGTTATTGAGAAGAAGTTGTTTTAAGATTTTAAGACATTTGACCCCTGTCACCTTGAAAACTGGTCAAGGTCATTCATTTGAACAAAGTTGGTAGCCCTTCATCCCAGCTTGCTACAGGCCCAATATCAGTACCCTGGGCCTTTTGGTTATTGAGAAGAAGTCGTTTGAAGATTTTAACATATTTGACCCCTGTCACCTTGAAAGTGGGTCAAGGTCATTCATTTGAACAAACTTGGTAGCCCATCATCCCAGCATGCTACAGGCCCAATATCAGTACCCTGGGCCTTTCGGTTATTTAGAAGAAGTCGTTTGAAGATTTAAAGACATCTGACCCCAGTGACCTTGAAAGTGGGTTAACGTCATTCATTTAAACAAACTTGGTAGCCCTTCATCCCAGCATGCTACAGGCCCAATATCAGTACCCTGGGCCTTTTGGTTATTGAGAAGAAGTCGTTTGAAGATTTTATGACATTTGACCCCT